CCGATGGGGGGGGGGGGGGGGGGGGCAAGTTCTTGAAATCCTGTGCTTTCATGCAGAACTTTCCTTCCCCAGGCCAGAGTTTTTTTAGAATAAACTTTATATAAGATTCTGCTTCTGTACAAAATTACAGCAAGCAACTTCAATCACAAATCACAGCAAGTCATACCTCAGTCCATGTCACCAACTGAACTTCAAAACAAATTACTATGCAAATCTGATCTATCCACTTCGCCTGTGACGACTGTTGGAGCAATGCATTCATTTCTAACCCTATGCATGCCTAATGCAGCTATTCTAGCACAAGCATCCATCTGCATGCATAAGTGTCCCCACGCAGCAGGATGGCAGCTGACACCTAGAACGTCCATGGCCAGACAGACTGATGCTGCGCATGGAGCCTGGACAGGAATAACAGCACAGATGCAAAGAGCGTACTACAAAAATCATCCTCTCTGCCTCGGCAAGTTTGCAGAATACATTTGACCACAGATGCTGGAAGGTTTACAGTTGACTGCTGTTATCCCCACTCACTAGCTGAGGCTGGGGAATCACTCTTCCTCAGAGGTTACAGCGTGAGGTACCTCCATGGGGAAGACAGACAACTCCTAAGCATTCCCATAAACAAAGAAAAGACAGGTCAAAAACCAGGTAGTGGAAGTAAACCCAAAAGCCTGCCTGTTACTACATGCATCATGTTACATCTAAAGATAAAATTTTAAAGTGCTACAGGAGGAAAAAAAACAAAGCAGTAACAGAACTGCAGCTCTGCCTCAAGCAAGTAACCTAAGACCAGCTTTTTAGTAACACCTTAGCACACAGATGTTCCTAGACATAAGTGTGACTGTATCCACACACTGTGTGCAGCAATGCGCTCTGTGGGGCCTGGCGTACAAGTCACAGGCTTATCAGTGATTTGTTCTATGTTCGTTCAGCATCAAGCCATAGTGCATACAACTGGCTTTCACTTCTACTTTCATTTCTCCTACTGTAAATCACATCTACCTCCTGTTCCCTCCAGAGCTCCCACTTTTTTTTTTTGCAACACTAATGCACACAATAAACAGTTTTAAAGAGTTTGATGCAATACATTTTTCATTCACTCCTATGATCCTGGGGTTAAAAAAAAAAAAACAAACAAAATTTTAAGAAGTATTCGTCAGAAATATCCTTGACAGATACTTGTTCACTACCCTCCTGAACATCCATAAGCCTATTTGAGACAAGTTCTAAATTCATTTTTCAGAACAAATGTAGCCAGCTCACCATCATAGAAATAACTGTGCAACAGATTCTGCATGGTACACCATTAGTTTCCACTTTATTTTCTCACCACTACTTCCAACAGCTTGTGCAAAGAAATGCAGCTCAGTTTAATTACTGGCTTCTATTCAAGGCAAAAGGCATACACAAGATGCTTACTAGGACCACGCATGAGTGAACATGCGGTCCTAGTGAGCTGGGGATCTGCAAGCTCATGATGATCTTAATCATGGACATTACTTACCCCCAACATGCCCTCAAAGCTCATGTGCAAGAAAATAAACGTGTGTAGTAAACTACACACCTGCAACATGTCATTGAGGAAGTCTAATGAAGACAAAGCCAGCAACATGTCATACATACAAGGAACGACATAGGAAAATAAATGTAGTAGGGATTAGGCCACCTTGGTCTAAGAAAATACACATATTTTTGTCATGTTATCCTCCATTTAAAAAAGACATAATACAGCATACATAAGAGTCCAGAAATACAGCAAGCACTTGAGATACAAGATTTTCATGGAACGGAAAAGGCTGGCACTGTTTGGTGAAGAGATACTAATCTGAGGCAGGTATAGTGCACCATTGCTGTGTACCCTCTCCAACACAGAACAAAAGAAAATAAAAAGAAACTGAGGAAGACTGCCCTTTATCTCAACTGTCAGTACAAAATCCACTTGGAATCACAGACATCGAGATGAAAGGCCTAAAAGGATTCAGTATCTATAAAAACTGTATTACTTGCTAGCAATAAGGAAGTTTATTTATTAAAATCTTGTGCTCCTGGATACCAAAATGACAAAACAGAGAATTCCAAAATTTCTTTCCAAGCTTTCCCAGACAGCTGGGTTTGTGGGGCTAAAAGGCAAGCTATGACAAAAACATTGCCCTCTGACACCAAAGAAAAAGCAAGCAACACATTACTCAGGTGTCTGTAACAAGATTTTCCAGCTTGGCTAATAAATGCACAGAGTGAAAAAAAAACCCAACCCCAAACATGACCAAAGTTTCACAGCTTTGTCAGTCTCCCAGCCTCTAAGCAGAAATGCTGCAATTAAATTTTTCTTGTAATATGGAATCTGGTAAGGAATTAAAATGCATTAAGATGTTAAAGTAGATGGGATCAATAGAGAATGCAATGCTCTACAACACTCCCTGCACTGCTTTCCGAGGCCTCAGTTACTGGCTATCATAGGTAGAACACCCAGTTAGAAAAACTCCTGATGCAACCCAAGTATGTGAGCAATCTCCAGGCACCATACAGCAATACCCAAACCAAACAATTACAATCATCATGTCTTTGCTGGAGTCTGACAAGTTTTAAACAAGAGCCTAAGTGAAAATGCAAGTCCACCCCAGAGGCAGGAGTTACTTCCACCACCTGAAGAAAATAAGTATCTTCAGAAGAAATTACTACTTATCCCTCAGCTAGTTTGTCTTTTTTGTTAATTAAGTTTACGCTTCACCATGAAGCTAGTACCATAGTTAAAAATGAGAAAAGGTTTGCTCTCAGTTAATACAGATCTATTAAAAAGGGCATTTGCCCATTATCTCTTCCTAATTCTACACTTAATTGGCTGAAGGGAGCAATTTTTTGACTAGCTAGCAGACTTCTCAGTTGGACATCATAACCTAGGGGCGTGAGAACCAATACACCATTTCCCCCTCTCAAGGAGTGGAAACAGTGTCTCCTCCCATAGCCTCATCCTAATTTAAAGCAGTAAGTCCACAGACAGTGGGAAAACATAGAATAAAACAAGTTAAAGCCCAGTTGACTGCAATGAAAAGATTTTACACACCAAAGTAAATTGGAGATTCCTCCCCCCATGCCTCAGCTTTGTCTCAGAGTAGAGAATAACCTGGTGAAGCGTCACTGAAAGCACCACTATTCACATGAAAAATAGGCTAAAATACACATCCTGAACTCCAGTCTTCCGTTGAAGTGCATTTCATAATCCTATCTGGTCTAGTAGAAACTTGTGTTTACAGAGGTGAACAGATCCCACAGTTCTAGCACTGAACTTTTTCATGTGCCTGAGGTAGTATGCCAACATGAAATAAAAGCACTTTTATGTAAAATTTTCAAAGTCAACCACTGTCTTAAAGTGAGCAAAGGGAAGAAAAAAAAAGCTTAATGACAAACTTAACCTGTCCACCCAATTTAAATAAAAAATACTTAAAGTTAGCTTAAAATAGAATATGATTGAGAAGCCTGAACATTCATCTCTATGAAAACTGGTCATTTAATGAATTTCTAAATAAAATCATTACCCCATCATGACATCCTAGTCTGGTAGTGTTACTTCAATATCCTCTACCTGCAATGCCTTAACATTATTCCTTCAAATCAGGCAAAGCCATGTGTATTTGGGGGAGAGACGGCAAAGAGGATGATGGCCAAGCC